CTTGTAACGTTTTTTTCAAGTGAAATTCATGTCCAAATACAAATATCTCTAGTACTTTTCTTCAAATTCTAGTTTTTAGCGGATGCAACCAAAGTATTCCTTTTTGTTACGATCACAAAGCTTAGAGAAGAATCTATTGGTAAGGATGTACCTAATAGCCGCCTCACACATGGCCGATTCTTATTACAAAAAGAAAAAGCTTAAAGAGAATTGATTTTTTATTTTTAGAGTATTAGTAGTATTTGATTGAGATTGATTAGTGAAAGCTTGATTTTTGTTTTTGTGCGCAGCTAGATGATTGGGTTTTATGTAGGATTTACAAGAAGAACAATACTCAGAGGCCAATAGATCACGAGAGGGACGATTTAAATGATATAATTGGAGCAACATGCATACCAAATAACTCAATGTCAATGCCCAACCCTTTTGGTCAACAAAAATCTTCCAACTATACTACATTGCTCGAAACTCATGACCAGAATATATATGATCAAGGTATGCAATTTTCTTCAAAGTCGTCGTCACAACTTCCAGTTAATGTACTCAGTACAAGCGCGAGTGTACTCCCTTCAAAGCGGTCGCTAACTGGTTTATATTGGAACGAAGAAGCAACGGCTAATGACAACTCCCAATCCACAAAAAGATTTTTAACAGAGAATATTAATAACATGGACGATGGTTTAAGCATGAATCTGAGATCAGATCATGACCAGAATGGCTCTATTGCAAGTCTTTTGAGTCAACTTCCTCAAACTCCGTCACTTCAACAACAACAACAACAAATTCTGCAAGGGTCACTTAGCGATGGCGTTTTTCGACAACCTTATTCAGGGATAAACTGGTACTCTTAATTAGACATCAAAAAAATTAATGTAAATCATATTAATTACTATACCATATTACATACAGGATCCGCTAACTAATTATTGTCACAGAATTTCGCACGAGGGTGTTAATTAGATTAGTGGGATTGCTGGATTTGGGTATTGAGTTTTTTGTTGGTAGCTAAGAAATTAAAAGGACAGAATTTATAGATGATTTACAGTTTTTTTTTTGGGGAGCGATCGAGTCTATGTTAGCAAAATTAAAAGCTTAGGTGAGGCCATGTATATTTTTGTTTTTAACTGTCTGTCTTTATAGTATATAATATAAAAATTCATACACCTCCAAGGTTTGTCTGTGAATATATAGCTAGAGATGCATAGAAACAAATCTTGTAATCTTCCTGTAGAGAATTACAACATATATGTATTCGATATTATATTGGAAAAAATATATTCTGCACACATAATATTCCATGTAGTTGTGCTTTGTCTATCACCTCTATATATCATGAGCTTCTCATTGTTCTGCAATTTTTTATTTTTATTTATTTTGCTTTCTCTAATTTTACCTCTAATTAAACTAACTACCAGAACGAAAAATTGACCCGTGGGTAACAAAAAATTACTTTTTTTGCAACTTTTTTTAAGATTCCTAAAACCCTAAATGGTAAAGCTCGACTGGATTTGTATGTTAGTTAGCTCAGTGGGAGATTATATTTACTAGAGCTACAATTATCTGATAGTAGGCAGGTTGTTAATTTTGATAAAGAATTGGTTTTTTTCATTTTCCAAAAGCATAGAGTAGCATTAAGCAGTGAAATTTGCTATCTTAGAAGAAAAGAAATCCTGTTAAGGGAAAAGATAAGAATCATTAGTTGTTGTGGAAAGCTGAGTAGCAAATTAAATAGAGACATATTCTTGAGGATCATACATACATGATACAACTAGCACATTGCATACATGACATGATTGATGTAATTATTTATGGGAGGAATCAAACAGCTAGATAATCTCATTGACTGCTCCCTTATTATATTGAGTCCAATTTAAGTACTCTTTTATTAATCAGTTTTGCTTTCTAATGCCTATCCTTCACAAAGAAATTTACATAAGAGAAAAGAAAAGACTACCCAAAAGAAAAACACATTCCCTTTTCCATTAAATTTGCAAGATTTACTTTATTACGGTGATATTAGAGTCAACTTATGCACTGAGTACTTGTCCAACAAAATGTGAGGTGCGTTTATGTCTCTACTGAAATTTAAACCTTTTATTTTTTAATAAGATTTGTGCGTGACTTATACTTCTAGGTCGTAGCGTTCTTCGAACCTTTGACATGATATACAAATTAAGGAGCTTTGCTTTTGTATTTAGGAGAAAATTAATTAATTGAGAAAATAAAATTAGAAGCACTCATGGCAATTAGAATAGGAAATCCCATCATATTTTGTCTCGATATATTATCAGCAAGGTGCCAAGTGCATTTTTTATCTCCATCGGAATTTGAACTTTTTTTTCAAAGATTTTAACCCACATTAGTGACTTGCACTGTTAGGCCGTCACGCTTTTCGAGCTTTTGACATGATATACAAATTAAGGAGATTTGCTTTTGCATTTAATTAGGAGAAAATTAATTATTTGAGAAAATAAAATTAGAAGCAGTCATGGCAATTAGAATAGGAAATTCCACCATATTTTGTCTCGATATACTTGGGACGTCATACTTTTTCTATTTATTATATCTACCTTCATTTTCTTGGATTAGAGATGGGCAAAGTATATTCCAAGAGCCATAGGTCCTCACATATTGACAACAAGATGCTACCTCACAATTACCTTTCTTTCTTTGCTGACTCTGGACCATCTCGTTATCATCAATGGGGAATCATTATCTCCAAACCATAATCTTTTCTTTTTCTCTTTTTAATTATCTTTTAATTAATTGCATTTCCTTTCCAAGGAAACATAACAAAACTACTTTAAAAAGATTTCATTTCACTACTACTTATTTTAGCAACACATAATGCGGAGGATCCAAATGCATGTATTTAGAATCATGGCTTCACATCATCTACGAAATCGATAGAGATGCTTATTGCATACAAGTGTGAACATACGTATATTTATTTATTTATTTATCTTTCTACATGACGTAAGTTTAACGAAATACCTAATTTTTATCTTTCTTTTCAACAGCAATTTAACTTTCAAGTATTTCCACATTCCAAAAATATGTTGTAGCATACGTATGAATAGGTATTGCCAAGTTACCAAAAAAAAGTATTATACATCCTTACTTGCTCGATTAAAATAGTCCATCTACCTCTTTTTCAAAACCATTCATAACAACGACTTAGAGGTTAACAAATCTTATCTCTAGGGTAACAAATGGAAGCTCATAAACTAAATTTCTTTTATCAGCAAAAACATAAAGGAATTTAATAAATGGTTTTTGAAGCTTATTTGCTGGAAAGAGATGGTCAGTATGAATTTGGGTACCCGTTTGAATTTGTCTTCAATTAATATGTTGAATTTTTGTTAAGTCACAGTTTAGTAGCGATTAACATAAGAAGATGGCCCACTTGAAATGATAATACAATGTCATCTTTCTCAACCGATTTTTACTGATTTTGAGTGAATGCACTATCTTGATAGATATATATATATGGCATATACTTCCAAAAAAGGAGGTCTATGACAATTTATAATTACTAAGCTTATGACCAAAGATTAAGCAAATCATAATTGCGAGAAAACTGATTGATTGGACCCCTAATTGTTGTAGGTTAGAGCAAACAGTTATTGTATACCCCTGCCATTATAATAAATGCTACTACTCCCTTTGACAACAAAAGAAATGGGGGTATTCATAGCATAAGGTCAACACATCTAATTTTCAGTTTAAATTCAAACATTGATTTCCTAATTTTTAAAAATATTTTAAAAGTTACATGAAAGTTTATAAATTATAAATTTTTTTAATTATTAGTTAAGTAAAAATTGTTTATTTTGTAAATAATAATAGTGTCTTTTTTTCCCTTTTCTGAAAAGATAGGGTACTTGCTATGATGCGTAGTGGTAATGTACTCGTTTGAAAACACGCCAGTTTTACTCCCCAGATTTCATAACGTAGGGAATAGCTTTTTGGATCAGTTCATTTTTCAGAAGCTAATACCAGAAATCTGGTTGCTTGCTTCCTGGAATTTAGCCCACTCGGCCTAACTGATTCTGTTTTTTGCTTTTTGATTTTCATGATTACAAAGATCTCTCTTTGACTCCTTTAGAATAGAGTTCCTTCGTTTATCAGTGTTGAAGAGAAATAAATATGATTTTTCTGTCTTACTACTTCACAGAAGACAAACTCCAGTTAGAAAAAACTTTCATAACTATAAACTTCATTTTTTCACCAACATGAATTACATGAGTTGATGGTAACATCATGGAAGATTCGGTGTAGGGAAAAAAGTTCAAAGATATGAGAGGGTGTTGTAATGATTTTATTTACTTTTTACAGATATTTTTATAACTCAACCATGGTTAACACACACATACTCCGAACTCAACTGACCACTCATGTTAATAACATTTGATGAAAGCGTCAAGTTGGGTAGATTATTTTTCAGAAGTAATATTGGACATTCAGGCATTTGATCTGAAGTGCGAGAAGCACGTACCCGTAGTTCTACAAACTCAAGCGATGGTCGAGTCTACTACTTTGTGAGAGAAATTGTAAACAGGTTGATTATATAGCTAAGGTAGGGAAAAATTGAAGATTTTACATGTTGGCATCAGGCATGGACGAACCACAACTGGGCTAATATTGATGAAAAAGAAAATAAAGATAGTCCTAGGCCTAGCTGCTCTCTTTACATGGTAAAGGGTAATGCAACAACAACAACAACAACAACAACCCAGTATAATACCACTAGTGGGGTCTAGGGAGGGTAGTGTGTACGCAGACCTTACCCATACTCTGGGATAGAGAGGCTGTTTCCAAATGACCCTCGGCATCCTTCCCTCCAAGAACTCCCCACCTTGCTCTTGGGGTGACTCGAACTCACAACCTCTTGGTTGGAAGTGGAGGGTACTTACCATCAGAGCAACCCACCTTGTCGCAAGAGAAGAACAAATGAAGCATCAGGCTTTATGATCCTTCAAGAATCAAGACAGTCAATATAATGCTATAAGCTACTATAAGTTATTATTATGTTATAAGCTGCACTTCTAATTTGGAGGTTCCAGTTGAAACTTCAGCATGAGCATCATTTAATTGCACTTTTTACATTTCAAACTACAAAAGAATTCGGGCGCTATGTGCAGTATCATAAACAAGTTTCTCAGAGGATGTTTTCTGATAGTACGGTACAGCAAGTATCTGCAGCTTTATCACCTCAAAGCTATACATTACCCCATTGATGGTCCTCTTAATGAATACTCTGCTGCGTGTTAAGATTGTTTATACTTCCTCACATCTTTATCCTGCCTCTGCTCTTTCATTCATTTACTCCTACAGCACACATCAAATTAAGGTAGCATGTCAATACAACTTCACCTCAGGCATCTCACGAGCAAGTTATTTCACATACCTGTGGTGGACCTATTGAGGGAGGTTGCATTTCTGCTTCCACTGATGCCTCTGAGACTCTAGCTTCTGATTTTTCATTTGAATAACTAATAAACAAAAAACATATGAAGTTAGAATATGATGCACTTCTTCTGGTAACATCTGCATTTGTTCTGTCATCAAAGTTTGAAATACTTGAGGGCACTGCAGGTAGGTCCTGCTTATGGACCGAGAAAACACAATCCAAGTAGTAATAGCATAGAGATTAACCATTCAATAGGAAATCTGATTCACCCAGCTGTCAGCTGGGCTGCCCAATTTCCCTTTATGAAAATACTAAAGTGGAATGATTGATTGGATGTAACCTAAGAGCTATCTGCCCCCAAAAAGGTCATGGACAACCTCCTTCGTTTAAAAAAAGGGAAACCTTTGAGAGTTGGCATACCATATTATACTAAAAGACTACAGTCGGACCACCATCAATTTCCTTAACCAATGATGTTTTGAGAAAGATAAGCTTCAATGATAACCATTTTGGCAACATTAGCTACCTCGAAAAGTACAGTATTTAATCATTCATGTCAGCATGCTTATAGTGCTTCCGAAATTCAGTCCTTGAATATCATGCACCAGAAAAGTAAAAAAAGTTGTGATTCAGATTTTGGAATGAAAGCTTACGTTGAGAGTATTGTAACCCAAATAAGTTCTACACAGTCGACCCAAAGAAGCCTTTGTTCAACCGGGACTACTCCATATGTAATAAGATGAGCAAATGGCCACAGCTTCCAACCTGCCTGAAAAACGAGCCACATAAAGGGAATCTGTGTTAAGACTGACTGCATCATGATGCATGTTTTGCTTACTAATTCACACTGAGCCTCAAACTTCATGTTGCATGATAGAAGCGTGCAAGCAAGAAACAGCAAAAGGAGTGATATAAACTGCAGGATACCATCATGAATTGACTCAAGTAACTTGCATACCAAATATCAACTTATCAACAGAACATAGGTTTCATTTGGACAAGCAAACCACTATCGAGATTCAATGAACACCCTGACTTAGAAATCTCCTTTAAAGATACAAAATAATGTTCAATTATGTAAGAGTTATGGACCAGATGAGAGGAAAAATGCCACACAAGAATGAAGAGAAAATGAAGCTGTGCAGCACAGTTGCAACTATATGTATAGTCAAGGTAAACCACACAGATATATTCATAGATATGAAAACCATGACACAATAATGTCTTACGTAGTAATAAGAACCACTGCTTGATGCAAAAATAAGTCTATTTATGTAAAAGTGATGCGGTAATTGAAGCAAGAGGGAAGAGCAGAAGGTCTCTTCTTACAGTCAACATTGGCCAGAATGTAGCCTTCAATTCACTGAAAATGGTGAGAGGGGATTCAAAACGCAAAATGCCCAAAACTGTGTAGTAAATGCTGTTCCAAATTGCTGACCAAACAGTCTGATCAAAGGCAACCTTGACAGGAACCACCCACCAATCTTGGAAAGGAAAAAGTGCCTAAAACGAATCAGAGTGTGTTGCTTAGTCCAAAAATTAGAACCTAAAATTGCACAGCCATGAAAGTATGAAACACTTGAAAATAGCAGTACCTCACAGATCTGATAATAATAATGAGAGAGCGATCCATGAAGAGTGAATCCAACTAAGCCAGATCTCAACATACGTGCACGATCAAAGTCAAAAAGAGGCTTTCCTTCATAGCACTGCAACAAGTATAAGCAAGACTAATTAGCACTTTGTGGCAATCAACAATTTCAAATAATACGATGGCATTTGCAGGAACTTTCTATTCATTCCCCACCAACCTGTGCGATCCAATCCCCAAGAGAGTAAACCACTCCACTGATCACCATTTTAGCCAAAACTGGGTTTCTTTTAAGGGCTTCCTCATACGCAATCCAGTTGTGCTGAGGTGCATATCTCAATATCTCATATATGGTCCATCCCTGAGAGAGAAGGATGATGAGCTATATTCTCTAGGAAGATATGTATTTGAGCATACATATACGTACTAAAAATTGCTGGAGAAATTACGAGAAGTAATTCCACAAGAAACAAATATGTCTCAACGTGGCGAACCCAAGTAAAAGATTATACAACTATAAAATAAAATGATACACGAAGAAAAGTAAACTTGTGACTGTTAAGTATAAATATATGTGATTCCAGTACTTGACAACATCGACAGGGGAACACATCTTTTGTATTTTTGTTCCTCCTATGGATGCTAAATCATAAGATCCTAACTTCATCAAAAGTAGTCGACAACAAGAAAGTGTCAAAACCAAGAAAGTTATTATGATTCAAGAGGACCCATTCTTCAGGATTTCGAACAGCAAAAGAGCAACTAGGATGTAACAATCTTAATCCACAGTTCCATTAATAGAAAGAAATGAAATATCCAATCATGACGCACAAGGTAAGAAGGAAAATACAAATTAGACTGCATAACTGATAACACTGCCAGATTCTCCAATTAGACCAAAAGCAGATAAAAACAAACATCACACCCCGCCACTGTAAACATACATATAACTGGGACATAATATCCATAACTAATTGTGAAAGAGTTGAACCACATAGGACTAAAGACATTCAGAAACATAGATCATTAATTAAAACATCTATATTAGGATTTGCACTTTTGGTTATAATAGAGTAGGAAAATAAGCATGAGAAATTGAGAATATACCAATCCAAAAGGTACCAAACTTATTGGATCACACGCATGTGTGTGCGCGCGCACACACAGAAAAAAAGTTGTACGCGGTAGAGACATCTTTTAAAGGGTGGAAAGATTTCTTCTCTATCCTTTTTCGTGGTCTCTTAGCAGTATTTGTACCAAAAAGCTGAGTTTGTTTAGACAATTGCTCATTTGGAAGCAATTGAATCAAAATTTGAGGACCAAAACAAAATAAAGAAAGAATCTTGCTCGGTTTTACAACTAACAAATCCCTTAAACCACGATATGTAAATGTTAATCCCCAGAACAAGCAGCAAGAAAATATACAACAATCAAATTTTCAGACACCAAGTTGTTTAAATACTACGCACTATTACTTAGTACTTCTAACACTAGTAAGTAGTAACTTACGTGCCAGTAATCATGGTCAATAGTGAGCAATTTAGTGATAGCAAAACTTCCAGCAGCTAAAACAATAGTTGCATTAATAGCTCTATCAATGACCCTGTCCATATCCTCTTGTTCTGATTTGCCATTAGACCCACTTGAAGAAGAACTAAACCCACCAGCAGCACCTTCAAACGATAATCTCCCTTCATTTCCAAACCCACCCACTACCTGATTTACCATATCCATATCTCCACCTTCCGGTTCTCTTTCTAACCCAATTACGACGCCTCTTTGCTGGTCCGTAGTGTCGTTGCTTTGGACTGGAATCAGGTCGGTTTCGTTGGCCACCGAGCCCACGACGGCCCAATCTCTTAGCTGCTGATTCTGCTGATTCTGCTGTTTGAGGCCTTTGGATAAGATTCTTGGCTTCAAAGGCTTGAAGTGGGAATAAGAGGGTTTTGGTTTGGGCTTTGGTAGAGAGAGAAAAGGCTGTGGTGAGGTCAGACCATTGATGGTCGACATTGAAAATGGAGAGAGAGAAGAGGGAGAAGGGGAGGGGTGGGGGGGGGATGATGTTAGATCACAACTCACTTCAGCTTCCCTCTGTCAAACTAATCGAAGAACCGAGTCTGGGCTTTTATACGAAGAGGATATATTGGTGATCAGTTGTTTCGTGGCGTAGGATAGTGAAATGCGTCGGCGAATCAGTGATGAACTCGGTAAGGTTGAATTGTGAAAGGTGCTTTTTGATTGGTTTATTTATGGAGGTGCAGGTGATTATACTGGGACGTAGATGTTCTGATCCTGTTTTGAATGTGCTAGCCTTAAGCCACGTAAGAGCGAACTCAGCCAATAGTTGAGCATGAAATTTGTGAAACCAATATTTTCTCGTCTTTAGATGGCATTGAGTCTTAAAATAACGATAACTTGAATCTTTTATACTGTATTTATTTAAGTACGAAAGTTGAATTTCCGATAATTCATCCGTTTTAATTTATATAAACCTATTTAATTAATTACGGAGTTTAAAAAAAAAAAAGATTTTTAAATTTGTGGTATAAAACGAAACACATATATTTTGTGTGACTATAAATCATTGCATAAAGTTAATTGTTTTCAAATAAGAAAAATAATCATTCTTTTTTGTATGGATTAAAAAAATATAGATTCACGTAAATTAAAACGGATAGAGTGGTTAAAAGCTGCTAACGTTGTGTTAAACGTTACTACTATCTTTTATAGTATTTCGAAGCTAGAAAATTAATCTATCATTAAAATTAACATTACTAAGACTAGGGTATTTTAGAACTTAATTAAAAGTGATTAAAAAAGGGTGGTAAGCTGTTGGTTAACTTGGCACGTGACATTTTATTTAATTAATCTCTTGTTTAAGCATTCACCAACCTTTCCTCTATATTTATGTTTTCCATATCCTCAAAAGTTGGCAAAGTGACACTGCACTGTACATACGTCACATTTTAATATAGAGAAGATGGATCGAGTATAAGATATTAGAATGCTTCTATAATTTGCCTTTCAAAAGTCTGGAGGTCTTTGAGAGGAAAAACGAGAACAAAAATTGAATCTTACACCTATAAAGTATAAGCGAGATATGAAGCAATCTTTCAAATTTATATCAGTTCAATTCACATATACAGTTTGATTATTAGTCAAACTAATATCTAATGAAATTATAAACATCATTAGATAATAATATGACATCTTATAAAGCTAATAAAAAGATTTTCTGACTCTAAATTTAATGATGGTAGTTCCAAAACCAAAAAGAGTGAGAATTAACAACTTAGAAGATTTTCCTATTAAACTTCATATAGAAATCCAAAATTTTCTTCATTTTTTTTTGGTATGAGTTCCAACATTAGTTCCAATTTTTTAAAATTTTCAGAGAAAGTTTTTTGCCAAAAAAAAAAAAAAATCATTGATTTTTAATGATACGTGTTCGCAGGGGAAATATTTTTGCTAATCAAGAATAACTTATTAAGAAAAAAAGAGAAAATAATGTTTTGATATAGAATCTTAGCGAAAAATCATGGAGTCTTGTAGATTGACTGGGAAAGCTATGGTCCGCTCCACTTGTCGATTCGTTTAGGTATCTTCCTCTCTCTTTCATCTCTGTCTACGTTCACATGGAATCTCTTTTTGGGGCATGAAAATTAGGAAATTAAGAAAATATTATAGACCAAGTTTCACATAAATATCCCACACCACGCAATTGATGTAGTCCCTGAGATGGGGTCCAAAACGTGATCTGAAAAGGTTAGGAGAGTATAGTTAGTTCACATATTTATGCTTGTTTACGTGGATAAGAAAGCCTGTCATGTTCAGAGATTTAGACCATCAAATAATTCGTGCCATTTATTGTGGGCAAGAAAGCTACAATTTTATTTTTATTTTCTGGAAAAATTCACATCTTATTTTAGATTATGCAATGAGACAATAACAGTCCGCTGCCCTTTAATTTAAACCATGCAACAACGCTGAAATCGAATATCCTTAAGTTGTTTTCACTGGGAAATTCTTGAGGCAAAGGATTTTCAGAAATCATGCATCAGTCTTCGGTCAAACCGAATTACTACTATAGTTCATCAGTTTTCATTCTCAAATGCCTATATCCTACATTTTTACATTCGTTTGCTCATTAATTAACCTTATTATCGCAGGTTGTGTTAATTTATGTCTCTAGCTTAATGGGTGTAATTATGTATGATTCATGGAATCATGTTAAATAAATGAATCATATATCTCTATTGTATTTTTTTAAGTTCAATGTGTTGAGGTCCAGCTTCCCAATTAAAGTAAAGCAACTCAAAAAATAGTATGATCTATTATAATTGTGAGTAACTTTGTATTTGTAGGCATTTAAAATTTTATTGAATTTTATTTACCCTCAAAATCGGATAACAATTGAATTTGTTTGTAATTTAAAGGATATGCGAAATAATTTGATACTAAGCGATAAATTTGATAGCAATTGAAATAAATAACGATAAATTAACTGCAAACCACACGAATTGGATAATATCGGCCTAGGAAAGCTGGCCACTCTCGAGTTGGATGTACCTTGATTGACACCAAGAAACCAAAGAAGAAGAACTTAAAGAATAATGGTAATATCTTGCTTATGAGTATATGTTACAATGTCCTTCATGAATTGTGAGGCGCCCTTTATATATTAGAGGAACCTACTTTTAAGGTATTATTCTATTATTCCATAAAAGATAAAAAGGCTCTTGATTTGTTGACCGTTGGTTCCTTTGGTATGTTCCGTAATTTTCGCTGTAATGTCCAGTTAGTTGCAGGAATTTCGGACCCTTGTCGGATAAGCTGGCAATATGTTCCTTGAAACCGTTATAACCAGGACCGGTTATGACCTCTGTAAACTCGAAGGCAAGTCTGGTGGTTCCGGTGACTAATTCTGTAAGGCAGGAACCGATCTCCGGGATTTTATCACCATCTCTCGATCCCAAACTGTTGTGTTGGATGCTCGGTTAAATCTCGAGTACGATTTTACCCGTATACATATGGTCCCTCATTTTTCGGAGAGTAAATGACCAGAAACGATATGAGCTCCCGATTCTTACTTCGATATATTATGACGTAAGCGACGAAAATCATAATGTAAAGTCCCCTCATTTTTTGGAGAGTAAATGATGAGAAACGATATGAGCTCCCGATTATCACTTCGATAAATCATGACGTAAGCGACAAAACCCATGATGTAAGCGACAAGAATAGTTGAAACGTCCCGTCGGTCCAGTTTTTAAGGCATTAAATGCTTGTCAGTCGCTGGTTGGCCACTCCCAGATGCGAACCGTCGCTTGGGAAACTATAAATACCCCTTCCTTTGTTCATTCAAACTTTACATCCAAACCTTCTGCCCTCGTATCTAAGAGATTTCAACACTTCTAAGCTCTTTTATTATGGCTTGCTGAGATTTTTCATAAGAGTTCTTCATTTTCCAACCATCCATTGTTTTTCACTTTAAACCTTCTTTCCTTTACTTCTCTTCCTTTTTTACAGAAAGGGTGAAGACTTCAAAATCTGTTCCCCAAAAAGAAACTCCCTCTGTTTCACGATTGGTTGTTGAGAAAAATGTTTTGCCTGCCACTACCAATGAACAGGCATCGGAACCTCCTCTTAAAATGTTCATCCCTGGGGGGTGCCCGATCAATGCTGATTTCAAAATCAAAAAGCCCTCCCCAGTACCAGGTCGGTGAGAGTCGGTCTCGAGGTATATCTGCTCGATCACCGAGGATATTCTCTCCGAGGTGAAAAAGGATTGCAACTGGGCCAACAAACATGTAGTGGTCCCTAAACCCGACGAAGTTATCACCACCCATGTGGAGGGGTTTTTAAGTGTTTATACCTATCCCTTCACGCTGGGTCCTTAAGACCCGGTCATCATTGATTTTTGTAAAAGATACAATGTGACCTTCGGTCAAATTCATCCTTCTTTCTGGAGGATTGTAATCCTCCTCCGTTTTTTCGTAAGCAAGATCGAAAGATACCCTTTTACCATCGATCATCTTATGTGCATATATAGTCCCCGACTCTATCGATGGGGACTGATCATGCTTGCCCGTCAGGCTACTAAGGCCCCATTCTCGAGCATAGACGAAGATCGGGATCGAGGCTGGCTAGGCCGATTTGTTCGAGTGAAGAATTCGGATTGATCCCAGCTGAGCAAATGTCGTTCCCTGAAAAGTGGAATATGTCACGTAAGTATGCTCTTGCTTTCAAATTTTATTTTATTGCTTTTTCTCTCCTTATTTGTGTTATGTGGTGGCACAGCTGTTGCTCAGATCCCGGACGCAGTTCCTCGACTCAAGGAGTGGGCCGAGGGCCTCGTATCCCAAAGGCCCTATTCCGAGCGCTCGTGGCACGAGATTTCAAAGGGTCGATGGGAGGCCCGTTCCCATGGTGAGATCTATTTCGTAACCGATAATTGCTTTCCTGTTTGCACTACTATGTTCTCACTTGTTCTATTTCCTTTTGCAGGTTTATCAAAAGACGTTACAATGAGACCTCCATATGGCAGTGATGATTTCCCCATTGAGTCCCTTACTCCGGGACAGGATAAAGAGAAGAAAAGGAAAGGGGCTCCCAGTTCTCCGAACCCTGAGAAAAAGAGGCCAAGGAAAAGATTGGCGCGAAAACCCAAGGAAAGCATCAGTCTATCGATTTAGGGATGAGTCCAAGAGGGAAGGAGAAGCCTTCGATCTAGTGGCCAATGTGTCGCCACAACTCGAAGGGCAAGGGGCCTCTGAACCAAAGGGGGTGAGGCCAATTTTCATCAAATCGGGGAGGCTGAGGAGGAGGCAGGAACTGAAGCTTCCCGGGATGCGGGCAAAGCCCCACAGGAAGCACTTGGCCCAATTGAGATTACCGAATCACCCTCGCTTACAGAGTCGATGTTCAATAAAGCCCAAGCCGCAAAAGAACACCCCATCGAAGGGGCACATGAAGCGGATGACCTTTTTCGCGGCTGTTTTGATGGCATGGATTCTACGGCCACGGAGAATGTCACCAGGTTGGGTGGCTTAGAGATACCGAGGAAAATCCAATCCCCGAAATCAAGCGGGCCTTCCTC